CCCTACTTGCACATACCATGTTTATGTTGCCTATGCTTTGATGGCATTTTGTCTTGACAAGGATCCAAAGGTATTATTTGTTAAAATCCCCTACTTGCACATACCATGTTTATGTTGCCTATGCTTTGATGGCATTTTGTCTTGACAAGGATCCAAAGGTATTATTTGTTAGATTTCCCAGTAACGTCAACAGCTTCAGATTATTGCATGTCTTATTTTCTTAATGATAGTGTAAAAGGATAAAATTGGTAAGCTTTAATCAAATTATCAATTGAACTTCTAACCTTCTCATGGACAATTAGGCACTCAAACTTCTTCATCTGGTCAAATAAGTCCAAATTCATCTATTTGAGTCTGAATGGTACATTTCACCCTTATATTCTTAAATAAATAAATGATTGATACCATTAATTGATTGAAATTATTAATTAATTAAACATTAGTTAAATATATTCAACCCTCCAGCAAGGCATGCTACTTTTACCATGTTTGTAATGTTTTCATAATTGATAATATAGGGGAAAATCATAACCAGTAATTAAATAATAAAATTTGGTCTTATAAAAGCCTCCTGATTTGCAGAATTAATGTAATCAAGACATAACTCCCAAGAATTAACTGAATACAGAAATATTGATTCACGATACATTATCAAGTTGCTATTTTGTGATGAAAATACCGTGGTAACATTCATTACTTTTGTTTCACGTAATGCAGGTTGCCCACAATGTTTTTGAAGCAGGATTGAAACGTTTTATGCATGAACCTGTATATGTTCTTGAGTAAGGCATTCTACTAAATTTTTAATTACATGTCTTAAGGTGATCTCACTTATGTATTGTTCTCGATCTTTAATTATTGGAAAAACCCCTTGTTCCTTATTAAAATGAGTAATATTTTGTACTCAAATTTTACTTGGTAAATCACAGATTAATACAAGATTTAGCTCCTTTTTCTTCAACATTATTTAACCTTTGTTTGGTGACTACCTGTATGAACAAGGAACGTTTTTATTTCCAAAGGGGATTGTTTAAACTTTGTCAAACCATCAATTCTTTGTTATTTTATTGTGTGAGTATTTGTAGTGGTTAATGGCAAGTTCATACTAAATTGAATAATGATCTTGAGGAAGGATCTCTTCTATAGTAGGCTGTTATCTTTTTCCATGTTTTAAGTTACATCACTAGTATTAACAAGGTCCTAATTCCAAATTCACACAATGCATGGTAGGTTTATCTAAAATACAGAAAAGAGGGGGCATAACATTGACTTGATATGAAAAAAATGATATGTCAAAATTCTAAAATTTTCTCTTTGCTCAGTAATTATGAAAATAAAATTTTTGAATTTGATTCAATAACACTTTCGTGATGTTACAAGACCAGAAATACTATAACAGAAGAACTGTGATAGGATTTTCATCATTATTTTCTTTTTTCCTATTTAATTTTAGAGTTAGTTCTGATGAGATTGGAGGTCTTATGATTTAAGAGAGAATTTTGTTGGGGAAGCAGATTTATAGAATGGTGATGTAGAAAAACAAGAGTTTGATTAGTTTGTTTGCAGGCTTGCATGTTGGTCTTTCAGCTTGGGAAATCTAGGATCTTAGGGTATTTTTGGGTTAGAGTATCAAGGTTTACAGCCTTCTATAGAATGTAGTGCAACTGTGGTTGTGATAATCAGCAGATAAAGTGAGAAATCCAGGGGTGAGATGGATAGAAAAGAGTTGATGGTAGTATGATCGTTAGGGTGGGAAAACTGAAAAGGATAACCTAGGATCTATTTTGATAGAGTGCATCCAATCTCTAGATGGTTATAGTGGGGAGACCCATATTAATTATATGTCCACATGTTTACCTTAATTGATGTAACAAGGTGTTAAATAAGTTATTTCTTAACTGACTGAGATTGGGTTTCCAAAGATAATAAAAAACTGATTAATAATAATTATACAACCAACTAGGACTCCAAGAAGTAAAAAGTTAATAAGATCTAAACTCCTGATGACTCATGAAATAACCTAAGCTTAAACCAATATATAGGCAACCCAATGATGCTGAAATGGCAAAATCACAATTCTGCCTCTAAACATAATATTGTACATAACTCAAGGTAAACTCTAGTTTAAAACTGAAATTGCATCAAAAAAGAAGGTGATTAGGTGCTCTTTTAGTTCTTGCATCAAGTAGTTAGTTTGATTGGAAGTTATAATTTTCAATTTAAACAAAAAAATTAGCTGTTGATGGAAGAGTAAATGTTCAAATGAACAACATTTTGCATCCTTTTATTATAATCGGGGTGGATTAGAGGAGCTTGCTTGTCTGTAAGGTGTGGTGATATCATGTCACCCAACTATTTTGGGGTTGTTAAAAGTTGTACAATAATGCCTGTTTTTATTGATGGAAGATATTTTGGATTGATTTATTGCCACCCCCTGCCACCCTAAATATATGTTCTTTTGACCCTTTTCTCCATAAGTGAAAAGTTAGTTAGAATGATATTTTCAACATTGTAACAGACATAAAAGTAAAAGTATAACATCTTAGTTGTTAAATAACCCCACCTGGTATTTTGTTACCATCATGGTGATTTTGACAAATAAAGCATGTAAATGACTGACAGGTTAACAAAATGTTAACTGGGCATGCAAATTTGTGGATATAGTCTGAAAGCAAAAGGTTGCAATACTTAGACTAAATGTTGTAAATTCTTTTTCTCATAAGGATAATGCAAATTTACTAAGTTTCGCGTCTTAAAAGGTAATGTAGATTCAGTTTCAGTCACCATTGTTTTGTTCTTAATTTTGCAGATATGCAGATTTCTTGTCTCGTTTGAATGATGATAGAAATATCCGGGCTTTATTTGAGCGAGCATTAAGTTCCCTGCCACCAGAGGAATCTGTTGAGGTACTATAATTGGTTTTTTTTTTTAATGTAAATTTGCAGACTGTTTCATTTATGTGCAACTTCAACCTTTCTGTATACTCATTTCTGTGCGACTTTTATTTGGAAAATGAGTCACTTTTTTTGTAGTAATTTTGGAGCTTCTCCAATTTCATTGGTAAAGAGTGAGTCTTCAGTTTGTAAATAGATTCAACTGCACAAAGTTTATAGATGGAAGTGTTGTATATATGTATGTATATATATAGATATAGAGAGAGAGAGGAGGGATCCACTTACACACAAATCTTACACACCATACTTACACAAACTCTCAACCATTCATCTCTCCACTTTCAATGGTTGAGATTTTGTTTATGGCGTGTAACACTTGTGTGTAAGTGGATCCTACATATATATATATATATATATCGCAAAAGTGGGTATTAGTCTGTATTGCAAAAAATTAGGTAGAAAAATACCCCAAAACTATGTCACTTTAATAAAGTTACATTGAAAAGGACTAAAATATCCTAATTTTTTAAGCAAGAGTGAGGTTGTTTTAGTCTCTTCTTGTGGTGCTTTATTAAAATAACATAGTTTTGAGGTATTTTTTCGCTAAATTTTTTGAAATAAAAGTTGATACCCACTAGTCTCTCTCTATATATATATATTTGAGCAGCATTTAAATAAACTATTTTTTGTGAGGCATACATGTCAGACCCCATGCCTCGCAAGCTTAACCCTTCTGGAAGCCCTCTAACTATTTGTCTTTGAGAACATTAGCCTCTCAACAAGCTTTGTGTACTTTAGCCTATAAACTTCACGTTATTATTGCAATTGACACAAAATCCCATCACTTGAGTCACATGGCCATCTCTACTCTGTTATCATATCCTTGTCTAGCATAAATGTGGTCTGGTTAGACCTATGGAGGTGGGAAAATCCTGCTCAGGATGAGAACCATGTGGGCTTTGGGCCAGATTTTTCTGCCTCCATGGGTTCAAGTGAACCATATTTATGCTAGCATGGCTCTAAGGAGAATAGGGCAATGAAGTAGAGACGTCCACGTAACTTAGGTGATGAGATTCTGTCTATTTTAGGCTACAGCAATAACGTGATGTTTATGGGCTAAAGTACACAAAGTGTGTTGAGAGGCTAATGGTCTCAAAAACAAACAGTTGGAGGGCTTCCAGCAGGATTATGCTTGCCTTGCACCCTCTTGTGGAACTCAAGCTATGGAGCAGTGACTTAAAAACCTCTTAGGTGCATTCATGTACCTTGTACACCAAGTAATAAATCTTACTTTAAAATTACAAGTTCCATTTTCTTGTTCATTGTAGGCTAGACTGCAAAACATCATTTTCTATTATATATATTATTCTTTTATAATGTAGATTTTTTTACATGGGCTTCCTTCTGATGTGTCCCTTTTATCTTTCAGGTGTGGAAACGATTTAGCCAATTTGAGCAAACCTATGGAGATCTAGCTAGCATGTTGAAGGTAACAATTCTTTTTCTGTCAGCCGATTCCATTGCCTTTGAATTCTTTTGTCTGCTTGATTTTGAATCTTCTCTGGATTGTTGATCCCTTTACCCCTTATAAAACCATGAATTGCTGTGAGTGATTAAGCAATAAATCTCTTGAAACCATGAGGAGAAAAGTTATTGCCTAATAGGAGAGAAAAAAAAAAATTGTGGCTTCTATGACTTGTTTAAGTTATATATAAATTAGGCACAGATAAAGTTCATGGTACCATGTTATGAGCTTCAGGCACTACTCTGTGGCATAGATTTGTCTCTGTAGACTCATGCTTCAAATCTGATGTAGGACAGATTTGAAAAATCTCATGTGGCTCTTATGGTGTGGATACAATTCATGGACTTGAGAAGTAATGTTTTAATTTTTAAGGATATAATCATATAAACAAGATTCCAAGGTTTGTAATTGAATTTAGGTTGTTGGTAAACAGAAAACAAATTTCTAGGCTTTCTTCTAGCAAGGAGTTTAAGGAATTGAAAAATTTGGCAGCTTTATGTGGAAAATAAATGTGCAGATTATATTAGCTTGTAAGGGTTTAGGAAAGGAGATCTGCTGTAGCACAAGAAAGGAATTTTTGGATAAGCAGAGAAATTGAGGCAAGAATGAGAAGAGAATAGCAGAATTTGAAGATTTTTAGAAGACTTAATTCATCATTTATTTTGAATAACCCTAATAGAAACCAGTTCTTATATAGATATTAGAAAACCCTAATTAGACTTAAAATCTCTAATTTGATTCCTAATAGGAATCTTTATTTTTTTATTTTTGGCCAGCAATATGAATCTCTATATAAAGATATATAATCCTAATAAATATAAACTACAAGTAAATATTATGATTTAATTGTTATATATTCATAATCTTAATAGAATCCTAATAAATATGGGACTTACTGCATCAAGATCTAGCTTGGACGATAAAGTTGGAAAGAATACATTAAAAGATGTTGGTTATGATCACATTCAATCCTACAATATAATAGTTTCTTGTTAACTTCTTAATAAACAAAGTTGTTATGGGTCTTTGAGAGTATAAAGATTATTATATGCATAACAACTAATTGTAATTATGTGGGAATTCCTACCATTGTAAGATTTAGTAATAATGGCCAACAATTAAATGTATGTAATGCTAAAAACACATAGAGACAAGCACTCAAATAAGAATATTAAAATGATCAAATCATACCCCTGTTCCTGAAAATTTAATTATTTAAAATCCCTATGTACTAATTACTAAAACTAATTAAACTAATTAATTATTGGACCTTTTGTTATAATAACTACTGATAGTTCTTTCTGTGGGATAAACAATATTTCTTTATTCCATTTTCTCATAAAATAGAGCAGACTTGATTCTCATTGAAGGACTCATAACTTTTCAACCATTGACTTCCAAAATGGAGAACCTGTTAAGGTGCTACCACGTGGTATATTGTTTAGTAGTATAAACATATACAATGGATGAAAACAGCATATATCTAGACCTTACTCTACATTGTGTTCTTTTATCTTTGATGAGAATGGTGACTGTGTAACATAGGTTGAGCAAAGAAGGAAGGAAGCTTTGTCTAGAACAGGTGAAGAGGGAGCTTCTCTACTAGAGAATTCACTTCAAGATGTTGTGTCACGATACAGTTTCATGGATCTTTGGCCTTGTTCTTCAAAGGATTTGGATCATTTCGCTAGGCAGGAGGTAATTTTTTTCTTAATTTACATTTAGTCAGAAAGACAATTTTTGTTAGGTACATTTATTTGTTTTGATATTCAGATGGGCCAAGCCTCCTGTTGCCATTATTTCTTATTTACCTTTTTGTTTCCATTGTTCTTTATTTTATCTAGAATAAAAAGATTCATATCTAATACATGTAGTTTTTTTACCACAAAATGAAAGAAATATGCAAGCATTTCTTAAGGTGATACTGGGTTTCATATTGGATAGGAACCATGTTACTCGGATTTGGGTATTTGTATCCAAGTTTCTATAATGGTTCCTGCATGGTAGTTTCTAACTTGGGATATTTGCAATATGTGTTTCTGCCATAAAATGGTAGAGATTTGTTTGTGTAGTATCCTACTTGTAGAGTATTTATTAGGTAATTTTCTTGGGTGTTATATTAGAGTCTCCCTTGATTTCATGTAACTATGATTTAACTTTTCCAATATGTTTGTTAACTGACACTGAAACTCATTTTGATAATATGTCCAGTGGCTTGCTAAAAACATGACTAAGAAAGTTGAGAAACCAGCTATCTCTAATGGAATTGGGATTACAGGTGAATGCTGTCTATAATTTTCTTGTACCAGATCCATTGTTTTGGCAACTGTTTTTAACCTTTTGGGAATGCTTCTTCTCATTTGTTTAGAAAAGGATCCAACAGTTGTGTCAAGCAATTCAAGCAATTCAACTTCTTCTGCTAAAGTTGTTTACCCAGATACATCTAAGATGGTGGTTTATGATCCAAGGCAAAATCCTGGTATATAAATGCTGGACTTTTGATTAGTCGAATATCCACTCTTTCATTTTCTGTTCTTGCCACTGTTCTAGGCTTTGTTTGACAATGCATCCTACTGTCATAACTTAATTCTATTGCTATTTGATTGTCGTTTACTATTATTTATTGGTGAACTAGTTTATGGAAGTGGTGAAGCTTTTTATGCTAGTATGGATTTTTTGGTAATGAATTCCTGTATTTTCAGAAAAAAATGTACATAGATGAGCCTCACTTCATCATGTTTAACTACAAAATGACTTGTGAATGGGTAGGGTTATTTGGTTTCAGTTTCTGATCAAAGCTTGAATTAAACCCTTGAATACAGAAATATGTAGACATTCTGTCATTTATCCTTGAATTTCAATGTTTACCATAATAAATATACCTATAAATTGTAATCATAACATCGAAGTTTTAATTGAATTCTATTTCATAGCTGGCTTGTCAGGGCGATACTTCAGAACTTGATTCAAGAGCACTAGTGAATTTCAGATAATTAACTTTGGCAGGTGACAGTATGAGAAAATTGAACTTCCAGAAGATTTTATACGATTGAGCCCTTACAGTTGAGGGCTAAGGTCTTTGGACGAAGAGGGTTCAAATAAATAAGAAATGGAGGTTGAGGATTTATATTTTTGACAAATGGCTCCATCCAATTTGAATGAGGTTTACCATAGCTTTTTATTGACTTAAAAATCTCTAACTAACGATATCAGCTTCTCCATCCTTCCTCTCCTGACCCTGGCAACCCTCAGCTGAAAAAATTAAAAAAAAGGGGGGACAAGAGTAGATTTTTGTGCAATGCTTGGACATAGTTATCAAACTACATGTGAACTGTTGCTTGCAGTGATCTACATTGTCACTTCTTGAGGGCTTGTTTGGTTCATGTAGTGAAAAATCCCCTCCAGGCATTCAATAGTTTGATGGTAATTTGATTCATAAGGATAACTTAGACATATTTGCTACGTACTCTTTGTGTGCATGATTTAATTTAAAAAACATAGTACTGGAAACTTGGCATGGACTCTCTAGACTTCCAGAGGTACTCATTCTATGCATAATGCATTGGTTTCAACTTTCAAGAAAGGAACTAAGAATTCAATAGGATAGATTGTGGTGAAAGTTGGGGTTAAAGAATTTTTTTTTTTCTGTTGCTCTACTGTTCTTTAACCTACAAAAACAAAGCTAAATAGTATAAAAAATTTAGAAGAATCATTAAAAAATCTAGATCTAGGTTTAGGTAGCCTTAATTATGAAATGATGGAAATTCCAAGACTTTAGAACTTGGAATTTTTGAAATATGATTGAAGGGAAGCTAGGATGCATTCTCCTTCATTGTATTGTTGTGGATATAGTTTAACAACAGTTGAATGGATAAGTTTTGTTATTTAAATTTTCAGTGGGAAGATTTAATGATTTTCATCACAAACAAGGGATAGGTAAAGCTCTGACCTGGTGGACATCTAGATGATTAGATGACCACCCTTCTTTGGCAATCATATTACTACTTTTTAGTTATTTGATTGCTAGTGCATGGTAATGGCTTCTTTGTTTTCTGTCAAAGAATCGTAGACAATAGTTCTGCATTACCAGGCTATTGTAGTGATCACTAAAAATGAGAATTAAGTTTTTAATAGAACTTTAACATATGATATAATTTTGGAAAAAAGGTGCAAATAAGGACATCAACTGCTCAATTGGGGCAAATAAGGACACATTGGATGGAAAAGCATAATGCTGTTAGGCTATTGTTATTAGTAAGAAAATGAGTTAATTGTTGCCATGGCATGCCATGGTGCACCTTTACTTCCAATGTGTCTTTAATTAGCCCAATTGATCCCAATCGAGAAGTTGGTATCCTTACTTGGACCGAAGAAAACTTGGTACCTTTTTTAGGGCTTTACCCTGTAATTGGTGTCCTTCTATGCACCTCTATATAATTATTTCATGGTAACAGTCTACGGAATTTAAAAGAACATCTGATTACATGCTTGCTAAATTTCTAGTATGTATCATATATTGATATATTGATTGGCTTATACTCACCCTTTTTTAACTGTAGGAACTGCAATGACTCCAAATGCAACTTCTCCTGCAATTCTTGTCACCTCCAACCCCTTGTCTACTCCCATGGTTGGAACAGTGGGTGGTGGATCATCCAGTGCATTCGATGAAATACTGAAAGCCACACCACCTGCTTTGGTAGCATTTTTGGCAAATTTGCCTGCTGTTGAGGGTAATCCTTTAACTTCTATTGCATTTTTGCAAAGCCTAACATGAACACTAGTCAAAACTCAAGAATAATTTCTAGCTCATCTGCATGCTTTTCTTTCTAAATACAAATTCTTATAGATTTATAAAATTGGAGCATCATGTCAATTTTAATTTTTCATTTTGATGGTCTAGATTTTTCTTCTTGCTGTTACTTTTTGAACAGTGTGAATCCATGTCTTTTGATCTGGACATAAGAGAAAGAAATAGTTGGCAATCTACAATGTTGCCCTGTGAACAGGGAATGGCCATTTTTGAGTGTTCTCAAGAATATTGTTTCTAATATTTCATGCTTGTCTGTTCATTCTCCAATAAGACAAGTGCTGCAGTGAAAGGCAATGATGCAGGGAAGATAGGGATAGAACAAACAGAAACTAAGAACCCATAAAATTAAAGATGGAACCAATAAAACTTAGGTTTGCAACCTCAAGTTTATTCTCAAAATAAAGACTGATGACAAAAGCTGATTTAGAGATCTAAAGATAACTATATATACTAACAGTAGCCAAGAATTGTAATTCAATACCGATTTGAACTTCTAATAACCTACTAATTCTAGTCCTAATTAAAAGTCACATGCTATCCATATGACTTTCCTAAAATTAAAACTTAGATTCCAAATAAAACTCAAACTTAATGCAAAACTAACAGCCCTAAAACTAATCATTTAAAAGAACTCTATGTTCCCGCATCAGGCAATAGGGACATAGACGACAACAGGTTTATATTAGTACATTAACAATCAAAATCGTTGTTTGATGAACTCATAGGCTGAGAGGGCTTGTATGGACAAGCTGGAATTTTAGTGAACTGCTATTTCAAATAGAGCTTTTCTATGTGCCTAAAAAGGAAAAGAATTTTTCTAGAAGTACTACTACAATATTGATAAATTTCATTAAACTCAATAGTCTACATATGGAGCTTTTCCCATAGTGCTTGAGATTATCATTGTAAGTGAATGTTTAGAATTTATATGCTTGGCAAATAGATCTATGTTATTAGGGTTCCACTCACTAATATATTTCATTGACCTAAAAATCTCTATTTTTGGTTGTTTCTGTCTCAATCTGCACAAAATAATGTGTAGGGTAGCAATCCACTTGCACACAAATCTTACACATCACACTTACAAAAAATCTCAAATCATTTATCTCTCCACTTTTATTGGTTGAAATTTATTCGCACTTATTAAAGATAATAATTTTTTTCACCTAAAACGTCATTATAATTCTCAACCATTGAAAGTGGAAAAATGAATAGTTGAGATTTTGTGTAAGTATAACGTGTAAAACTTCTAAGTGGATCCCTTCTCTAATGTGTAAGCTTCAACAGATGTCAATTGTAATATTTACCATGGTTTGTCCAGTTTGGCTTGTTGGCAAGTCACTCTGCTGCACACACAAATTGAAAATGAAATTCATTTCACTATCTTACTATTTTGATGTTTCTTAAGTGGATTTCCCCCCCAGTGTTGATTTTATGATAGTGACAATGGAGAGTTTTTGTTATCGCAGATTTTTTTCCTTTTTAAAAAGGAAATTGGCAGTAAGTTTGACCCAACCGGGTATTCTACATCTTCACCAAGCATACCCCAGCGTGTAATCAATTATTCATCAATAGATAGTTTAACAGACATCAATTGATTACAGTTATCATTTCCTTTTTACTTGTATCATCTGTTGAATTTTCAAGTTCTTTAAATCAAAATTATAGGATGAATGTGATGGGTTTGCATGATAAAGTTGTCAGTAGCAAAGCCATGTAAATAGTCTGTAGGGTTCTTATCGTTCATACTACTAATTTTTCTTATATTTCTAAGCCATAGTTTTTTCGTAGTGATTTCAGGTCCAACACCAAATGTAGACATTGTACTGTCAATTTGCTTGCAAAGTGACTTACCGATAAGCCAGGCTGGAAAATCAGCAACTTCTGCATCTCAAATGCCTGCAGGTGCTCCTACTCCCAGTACAAGTGATCTTTCTGGATCAAGCAAGTCCCATCCCATCCCAGGCAGTTCATCTTTCAGACCAAGGGACAGATATCTTGGGAAAAGAAAGGATTTAGACAGTAAGTTTGCTGTTCCATATTAGAATTTTTGCTACTGGTCATGTTCTGAACCTGCTGCAGCCTTTGGGATGGAAGTCTTGTGTTTGAAATTGAAGTTCACGACATAGATATAATACATTTTGGCTTAGATTGGATAAAAAGCAGCTTATATAAGCTATAATGTTTCAATCCTTCATGGTTTTCCAGTATTTTTCAGCACATTGTGTCTTCTTATTACATTCTTTTTATTTTTCATTGACAGGACAAGAAGATGATGAAACTGCCACAGTTCAAAGCCAACCGCTACCAAGAGATGCTTTTAGGATACGACAGATTCACAAAACGCGGGCAAGTTCTACCTCACAGACAGGATCTGCATCATATGGAAGTGCTTTTTCTGGAGATCTCTCTGGCAGCACTAGTTAGTTAAATATTATGCTCATTACCAAACCAAAGAAAAAAATTGATATTATGGTATCTTTAATTCTCTGAGAAATTGGTATTTAATTGATTTTCTGCCATGTGATTTCTGAAATTTTTTTTTTTTTTTACTTATTGTTACCATTAAAGATGACCATCAATTATATTTGCAGTAGTAGAAAGGTCAATTCGAAGGTAATACAAAATTTACTCAATACAGTATTAAAACAAAATGTCATTAATAGCTCTAAAATGTACTGACAAGACAGTATTATAACTCAACATTTCAAGTTGCTGACATATTTAAAGATCTAATACTAATATTAAGGCTTTTTTTTTTTTTTCTCTTTTGAAGTATTTTTTTTAAATCAGTTTCTTTCTCGAGGTAATTCTGAAAGTTCTTGAAGCGATTGGGGTTGGGAATACTAAGCAAACATAATTTAAAATTATTGGTTTTCTCCAATATCATAGTAATATAAAAAATATTTAAATATTATATTTCTTAGATAATAAGACTCTGTGATATGCACTTTTGCCTGTTAATCAATTACATACTATAACATTTTAAAGAAAATCTTCGCAAGTTAAATTGAAAAAGCAGTTTCATTCCATTGGCATTTTTATTGTTTTCTAGACTGTAGTGGGCCAAATCATTAAATTTAGCATCAAAACGGCCAAGCATGTTCTTGGCACGGAAAGCTATAACATGGAAATAATGATCATGATAAAAAATTACCTACATGGAACTCATAAAAAATTTAAAAATTGATCGAAATATCAAAGTCAGAAATTTCATAACAAAACTTAATTTCAAAAGTTATCCAAAATTTCTTTAAATATGAATGAGAAGCAGCTAGCTCCTAAAATTTTTACTTCAAAATTTTGATTTGGCGACCAAAAGATTCAAATATTTACAATCACAAGCAATTAACTTCTCTAATGTGCAAAAAAAAATAAAAAATAAAAATAAATAAAGAAAACGCTTTTTTCTTGGACATTAATATTTCTCTTATCTATTAAATATCATTTCATGTATATATTAGATGTGCATGTAAAAAATTATAAGAAAAAACAATTTAAAATGATTTCGTTTTAATAAAGTATCATAGAAAAAAACAAAAATAGTCTCATTACTACTTTAAAAATATATTATTTTAGTTTTTTTCAAAAAATATTTATTTAAATGATATAATTTTAGAGATTTTTTCTACTAATATTTTAGAGGTATCGTTAATAAACACTTTTACATATATATATATATATATATATATATAAAGATAGTGCAAATCAGTATGACTTCCCAAAAAGTAGAAAAAAAAAAAAAAAAAAAAGTATGACCCCCAAAAAAATTAAAATCACAACTGTTAACATATGTAGTTTTATTTAATTAAAGCTCCATCCCATAATTTCACCTCTAATGAAACTAAATAGAGGGGGAAAAAAAAGTGACATATCACCCATTTTGCTCTAGTCGTCTGATGATTAAAAAAATTGGCTCTAGCTACCAAATTTGATAGAATCTAAAAATTAATATGAGAAGTAGTGTCTACTCTACTCTTTTTGTATCTCTTTCCTTAATATTCCTTTCTTTCTCTAGAAATAGATTTGACTTGTGGTAATTTTGTAAATTCATTAGTGTTTAAGGATTTTTGGTTGAGTTAATGGTAATTGATGTAATATTTATGAACTTTTGTGTATTTTGTGTTTGTATTCAAAAAGTTCTTTTGTCTTTGTGCGATGACATTTGTTGTAATTATTGTAAATTTCACGTCTTCTTTATTTGCATAGAAAGTTTATTTTGTCCTTTTCACAATTACATCTAATGTAATTAATTTGTAATTTATTATCATTTTGTATTTGTATGATTTTTTTT